CCTTGAGTTCGGGCTCTGACAGGGAGTAGAGTGGTCCGAACTTGGGGGTCTTGCCGGGCTCCAGGTCGATCGGGCAGTCGTACGTCCGGTGCGGGGGCAACGAGTCGGCTTCCTGCTTCGAGAAGACTGAGCCAAACGACTTGTACTCCTCGGGGATCGACGTCGAGAGGGGCGTCGGATCCGGATCGGTGGCAGGAAGGACGAGGACTTGGAACACAGTCAGGGGGTCGGGGCTAGACTGTGTGTCGAGGACGGACTGCTCCAACGACTTGTACCTGATCGCTTGGACACGGACAGGAGCGGGGCTGGGAGCAACGGGACCGGGGAGACCAGGACGGACGGAGACGAGACCGGAGGGACCAGGACGAGCAGCACAGGAACAGGGCACCTCACTCGGAACACAATCAGAATAACGTTGAGCGATCACTTTATTCTGATCATCTTCGCGAGTACAAACGGTGCGAGGCGAAGAAGCGAGCACCACAGTGGTGTCGGTAGAGGCACGAGGGAAAACATTGGGTGTGTCGCCAACAAGAGGAAGGGGAGAAGGAGAAACGGAAGAAACGGAAGGGAGGGAAGAGGCATCCACAACCTTGAGGATGTGGCTTGCAGGACGGGGAAGGCAAAGGAGTCCACGAGCCCAGTGAAGCCTGGGTTCGATGGACTGCAGCCAGGGATAGCCAAGGATAACGGGTTGGTGGGGAGACTTAATGACATCAAAGGAAAGGTGTTGAGTGTAGTCCCCAAGAACAATCTTGAGGGGTTCCGTCTCAAAAGTGATGGGGCCGGAAGAAAGTGGCTGGCCATCGACACCTTGGACAGGGAGAGGAGTGGATTTGGAAACGAGGGGGACCGAGAAGCGGTCAACAAAGCTCTCGTCGATGAAGTTCCCGGAGGCACCAGAATCGACGAGAAGTTGGCAAGAGAGGGAGCGACCAGAAGGGAGAACAAGAGAAGCGGAGAAAACGGGAGAAGACGAAGAAATCGAAGAAACGCACGAAGAAGGCTCGGAGCAGAGATCAGTGTCGGCAGCATGGTTCGAGCAGATGACCAAGTTCGCAGGTGGTGTGGAGATCGGGAGCTCTGTCAAAGACATCTGGGAGCCAGATGTGCCCTTAGAAGAGGCGGTATTGACAGAGTGCGATCCACCACCGACTACATTGATCATTCCACACATAGCCATGCGTTCGACACTTACCTCATGCTCCTTACCATCGACGCTTGCTTCTGGAGGAAGGGGGGACGGCTCCAGATCTAAGCCTCCACTTAGATCTGGGCCTGGTCGTTTCCCGACTCGAAGTGTTCCTCCTCACCATCATCGTAGACGATGGTTCGGACAACCTTCGAACGGGGACGGGAGCCGGGAGCCTGAGGACGGGAGCCAGGGAAGCGGGAACCAGAGGCGGGAGCACGGGAGCCGGACTTGAGGGGGCAGGACTTGGCGACGTGGCCGGGCTTGCCACAACGGAAGCAGAGGCGCTCCTGGAAGCGGCGATTCTTCTCCTCGGGGGTCAGGCGGCTGACGACGGCGGCGTCGATCTGCATCGGCTCGGAGTAGAGGACCGGAGGCTCCTGGGCGGGCGGCTGGAAGGACGGGGTGCGGGAGTGGAAGGCCTGGGTGCCGAAGGAAACAGGGCCGGTGTTTCGGAGCTCGTTGTTGAGCTCGATGATGCGTGCGTCGATCTTGAGGCAACGCTCGACGAACGGGACCAAGCGGAGAGGGAGAGGGTCGATGAAGGAGAGACGCTGCTTGATCTCCCTCGACAGGCCACGGCGGAAGGCGGATATCTTGGCTTCGTCGTTCCAGGGAAGGTCGGCGGCAACGCGGAGGAACTCGGAAGCGTAGTCCATGCACGATCGGTTGCCCTGTGCCATGGAGGAAAGGAGCAGCTCGGCAGTATGGGTGCGGTCGGGATCGTCAAACGCTTGGCGAAAGCGTTCCATGAACGAGTCGAACGAGTGCAGGATTTGATCGTTCGACTCGATCAAGGGAGTCGCCCACTGGAGGGCCGGACCAGTGAGCAAACTCAAGACGTAACCCACCTTGACTTGCTCGGACGGGAACCTGGATGCCTGAAGCATCATGAGCAGGCGGCACTGGTTGACGAAGGGGCGGAACTTTGACCTGGTGCCGTCGAACTTGTCCGGGGTCGGCATGTGGGGGAGCTGCGGGGCGGCGGAAGAGTGTGTGGTCCGGAGGAGGACCAGTTCCTCCTGGAGGGCAACGATTTGGGCCTGGAGTTGGTCCATGTGGGATATGGGGGCGGGGGGGAGAGTGCAGAGAAGACAACAGAGAATAGAAGGATGAGGGCAGCAACGAAGCCTCAGCCAAGCAGGTGGTCAGACAGAGAGAGGGAGTTCGAACAATATGTGAGGACCACGACAAGCAACGACACTGGACGACCAGGTGCTTGGCGAACAACGATAAGCTATATTACGACTTATCAGATAACAACAAGTGTTGTTCGAACTGAAGATACAAAATGGGTGCAAGAAAGGAGGGGCTTTATAGCCAAGAGGGAAACCGAAGGGCGAAAGTGGGCGAGAAGGGTGGAGCGACAAACGAGGGACGAGAAGGGGGTGCGAGGGAGGCGGAGCATCCAGCGAGAGGGGCGAAGCACAGCGCAGTCGGAGGCGAAGTAAGAGTCATCGGCGCCAGCCAATCAGGGAATACACGCCAAGACAAACAAACATGACTCACGGTGCATCACGCGCAGCAGTCCACACGTGTTCCCAACGTGCATGATCATCACACCGATGCCCTGTCTCGTCGCTCGGACTACATCCCTTCGTCGGCCTCCGTGTCGAGGGATCCGCCTCTGCTTCTCGATCCTGCCGCGGTGATACGCGTGCTCCGAAGCAGAGACGCCCGCTCTTCGGTTGCAAGTCGCAGTGACCCTGTGGATTTGCTGCAGCTCATAGCCGAAGAGCAGGCTCGGGATCCCGGTCTAGACAAATACCGTCGTGACCCGAAGTTCGTCTGGAATGGCCAGTACCTCACCTTCCAGAACAGGATTGTGGTCCCAGAGTCGTGCCGAGTTCCGGCGCTCAAGTCGTGCCATGACCCAGTCGCTGTGGGTCATCCAGGCATCCGACGGACTCTGGCTCTGGTATCGCGACAGTTTTGGTGGCAAACCTATCGGAAAGATGTCAAAGAGTACGTCTCGACGTGCGACACCTGTGCACGCTCGAAAGCTCCGCGACACAAGCCGTTTGGGTTCCTGTTGCCACTCCAGACAGCCGATCGACCCTGGGGGACACTGACCATGGACTTTATCACTGATCTGCCAAAGTCCAAGGGTCACACCTGCATCTTTGTGGTGGTATGCAGCCTCACAAAGATGGCACACTTTATGTCCTGGCGTTCACTGCCGTCGGCGGAGGAGACTGCGTCACTGTTCCTCGACAATGTCTTTCGTCTCCATGGCCTCCCCGACACAGTGGTTTCAGACCGAGGAAGTCAGTTCACCTCTCGGTTCTGGAAGGCACTCTGCACGCAGCTCGGGATCCAAACCAGTCTGTCCACGGCCTTCCATCCCCAGACCGATGGACAGACTGAGAGGGTCAACCAGGTCATCAACCAATACCTGCGCTGTTACACGTCGTATCAGCAAGATGACTGGGCCGAGCTGCTGCCGTTGGCCGAGTTCTCTTACAATAACCTCGAGAACTCGTCAACACATGCCTCGCCATTCTTGGCAACCTATGGGTTCCACCCAAGGTTCGAAGTCCCCGTTGTCGCTGGCGGCCCTGATGTTCCCTCTGCCACGGAGAGGGTTGAACATCTCCAGCGGAACCTGGCACTGTTGAAGGAGAATCTTGAGAAGGCAAAGTCTGACTACAAGCACTTCTCAGATCTCCGGAGGTCCCAGGCTCCCGACTTGCGTCCGGGCGATCAAGTCTGGGTGCTGACTCGTAACATCAGCACCACTCGCCCAAGCAAGAAGCTGGATTACCAGAGGATTGGACCATTCACCATCCTCGAGGCCGTCGGGACATTGGCTTTCCGCCTGGACTTGCCAAAGGACATAAAGGTGCACCCGGTGTTCCATGTGTCTCTTCTTGAGCCCTACAAGAAGAACTCGCTTCCGGGTCGGGTGCAAGCGCCGCCCCCTGCGGTGGTCATCGATGGGAACTTGGAGTGGGAGGTCGAAGAGATCTTAGACTCCAAGTTCGTGCGCGGAAAGCTGCACTATCTCATCGATTGGAAAGGCTACCCGGTCACCGATCGAAGTTGGGAGCCCGCCGACATTGTCTTTGCCCCAACGGTGGCCGCGGAGTACCACCGACGCTACCCAGACAAGCCTGGCCCCAGGAGAACTCAAGATGGAACACGCCGTAGTTTAAGGAGGAGATAGTGTGATGACCAGCATCACAACGGACCAATGAGATTGTCCCGCATGCTCTCGCCCTCCGCACCAATCATGAGTCCCCACGTGTTTGTTTGCCCCCATGCATGAGCACGCGCCGTTGCCACCCGCGTCTACTGGTTTCCTGCCTCCCCCACCGCTCGGCACATGTCCCCGGGCTGTGCCAAGCCTCTCTCGCTTGCACACCAGCCACTCTCGCACCCCCTTCTCGCTTCTCTGTGATGCTCCACCCTTCTCGCCCACTTTTGCCCCTCGACCTTCTCCCGGTCTATAAATAGCCCTGCATGTCTGAGCCTATGTTGAACACCAGTTCGAACAAAACTTGTTCTTTGGTGTTCGGGGCTAAAAGCTAATAAAGCTCATACCAAGCACTTGGTCTTCGTCCTTGCGCTTGTTCACTCCTTACAAATATGTGGTCGTTGTTTGCCCACGGAACAAGTAACAGTTTGCCATATCGATCTTTGTATCTATTTTATGTCTGTATGCACGTTTATACCTTTGTACGATGCATTCGTGACACACAACTATTGGAACGTGGTGGTTGTGGCGTTAACTGACCGATTGTGCGCATCGGAGTCACAACCAAGCCGCCATCGGAGACGATTACCTGCGAGACATCAACTGATCACTATGAGCCTCGTCTGCACCATCGGCACCAGGATCAGGGAAAAGACCAGGCTTGTGGGAAAGTTGGCGATCGAGCGGACAACTGCCCAGCAAGCACGGTTGCAGAGACAGCGGGCATTGATGGGAACGAGCTCCAGCAAGTTGGATCTGCTCATGACGGAAGACTCGACAAACACCTGTAAGTCACCCAGAACCGCTACAAGTTACCGCGGGCTGCACAGGATGCAGTTGATGCGTTATAAGTCGGACGGTTGCTCCGAAAGTGGCACAAGAAAGGGGTTGGGTCGTCTCGTTAGAGCAATTCATCGTGGGCCTTGAGCGGGTGAGCGCTGACACTCGCGCTTGTCGATTGCTCAACACCGCGCAGACGAATTTGACATTGACGACGTTCAGCTGGACTTTAAGCCACTCTACCAATGCTTGCATATTCACGAGGTGCTGGAAAGGAGGGAAGAATTCAAAAAGTCGTACGAGGAGAATCGGCATGTGAGTTGCAAAGCACATTGCCTGCGAATAGGCTCTGCGATCAATCCTCGCACGATTAGATGGCGCGCTCGGCATTCCATCGCTTCATCAGATTGTCGACTCTACTTGGATTCCAGCACCATTTCTAATGCAATCGTCACTGTCCGCTTTGTCGATGGCTCCACCAGCATCAAGCCCAGCTCGTACTTGACACCAAGCTTGTCTTTGACGAGAAACTCGAAAATTTCTCGACCTATCTGAACGACATTGTTGGGTTCTTCATCATCGAGGCAATGATCCTAAACACAACCCAAAACTTTCGCTCCCGCGGAAACGTCGGTATCGAGCGAGTTGGAGGGCGTACGACTGCATATAACTCATTGCCCGGTGGACAGCACGCGGGGCATGTGCAGCATTTGATGGCACCAACCATGGCAGCAACCGAGCTGCCCCACCTACTCTCGGGCTCATCAGAACTGTGTGAAAACTCAGATTGAGGGCCTCTGGAAAATGGCTGTCGAGAAGATCAATCTGGTCATCACAGAGAGCCTGCATGACTGCCAGAATCCAAAGCTGTTCCTCAACATCAAAGTCATGGTGGGGGTGTTCATACGAACCATCGAGGTAGGCCCTCCTCGTTTGACGAGCGCGCATATGCACTGTCGCGGTCAGATACGACTGTTGTCAGCAGATCTGTCACATCTGGACAGAGGGTAGGAACGACAGATACAGATGAATGAGGCTCGCTCGATTGAGATCGTCGGCTCACAAGCGGACTACAATCTAGGGATATGGATACGCCGTCAACAAGCTGACGGATCTGATCGTCTCGCTGTTTGATCGATACGCCGAGTTGATGAAGTTGAGCTGCTGCGAAACCATTATCAAGGTTTGGAATTGCCAGGCTGTGTCAGTGCCAATCCTTGACGAATCGCATAGAGCTCACCGTCCACATTCCGGTCGCTCTCTGCACGATGCCACGCGGTGGGGCACATTCGCTTTGCAGATCATCGAAGATGATGAATATGCGCCTCTCGTCGTTCAAACACCTGAAGAGCTCAAAGACGTCAACGCGGCATTCAAGTACACTGAGACCTCCAAGATTGCGACCACCAGGTCTGTATGTGGTATTCAGCAGCCAGGCTTTGCCGAGAGCGTCTTGCTCGGGCAGGTGTGCGCAATGGATTACTCATTTCCTACCGCAGATTCCCGCGCTCGCTGCCGTTTTCCAAGGGATTCATCCTGTGCTGCAGCAACATCAAGGAGTTTATCGATGTGTTCTATCGGTTTGCTGAGAGCTTCTCAAAGCAACACACGGCCATGGACGACGTCATCAAGAAGGTATCCCATGATCACTGTGAATTTTGAAGCGCAATCCGTGGCAGCCGGTCGCGAGAGTTCTCCATGGTGTTGGCATATTCCATGTTGATGCTTATGCATTCCCTTCGATATTCGGATTTGCTGTTGACGGTAGGCTTTGGACGAGCTTCTCCAAAGACAACTCAACTCGGCGATCCTGGATCAAATTATGATCAGCAATCTGTCGCAGGTGGTCCAGATCATAGTGAACATCGGATTCATATGCCAGGCATGCAAGGAATTTGAGGAGATGATCGAGAAAAAGTAATGCAAGGCACTATGAAGCTTGGGACCGGGTGGAGTAGTTATCGTGGCAATGGCGGTGTGGAATATCCAGCGACCGACGTCCGAGAAGGTGGCAGCCAGAAAAGCTGTGCCTGGATGACAATGGAGCGGGATCCGGATGACTGGAGGGCTGTGTCTGGATGGCTGAAGCGATGTGTCCATTGTTTTTTGCATTCTGGCTCTCTCGCCAAATGATTTGACTTGACACATTGTCCGATTCTGCGACTGCCCCGATATCGTATCCCAGCTCAAACAGCAAACCCGGTACAGTCACACTCCAGGCAACAAAAACGTTCCAGGAGACAATCAATGTGGCCGAGAAGCGGATATTCGAGCTCCTCAACACCAAGATTGACGATTTCTTGGAGCTCGCTGACTATGAGTGGTGAGGATGTGTCCATGAATGGCGTCTATGAAGGTGTCTGTGAATGGCTTCTGTGGATGGCATGTGTCGATGCTGGCCTTCATTCAATCAACCCTCGGCGACACGAAGCTAGCCTGACATGGTGTTTTCGCTTCATAGGGAGGCAGTAGAGTCTAATGATTCACCCAGCCCGTATTTACTCGGTAAGTGAGCATCGAGCATCGAACATCGAACAGCGACGACATCAAGCGCCAGGATCGATTCCATCTGCTGGCTAACCGCAGTCTCTCTCAGAGTTGGTCAACTACCTGACCAGTGTGATCACGTCAACACTGTCGAACCTGACGCCGAGTCTCAAATCGTACCTCTACTTTGACTCGTTTGGTCATCTGGGCCGGGCACTGAATGTGAGTTTTGGTTTCGTGGTTGTCCAGAGGCGGGGGGGTCCTGAAAGGTCCATATGCGACACGGCAGTTCAGGAGTCGCCTGTACAGCGCCTGAGCTCAACATCTTCATGAGTAGATTTCCATCAGGATAACAAATTGGCATGCATGTTGTATGGTGATGACGACTGATGTGCGTTGCCATGTGAATGCAGGGTCTATGGCTGAACCCATCCGTCAAGATCATCAGCCTTGGCTTTGTCAGGACATTCAAAATCGACGTGCTGTTCCTCAAGACCTTTGTCAAGGGTCTGGGTGACATTGAGATCGGCGATGCGTTCGTGGAACTGGATCAGGTCCGGGATTCTGAATGGCGTGCAAACCGAAGTCAGGCTCGAAGCGGGCGGAGCACCGGTGACTGGGATACAGCATGGCTCTGACCTGACTCAATGGCGCCTCTGGCTGTGCTCGCGCCTGTAGACTATCGAGTATCTGCTTTCGGAGCGGTACGAGGACTTTCTTGATGCGGCCGTCCGCAGTGCCAAGTACAATCGCATCAAGGTTTCGAACGCAGTCGTTCTGCTGGAAAAGTGAGTACATGTACGGCGGCTGCGGTTCCGAGAGAGCGACGACTGTATTTTGGGTGGATCCAAGGTTGCAGGAGATGCAAGACTCACAGCTGTCTCTACCGATCCTGCACCCCTTGGTTGACAGACTCAAAGGACCAGATGTTGGCGTCTTCTCGAAAGTGTCGGCTCACGAAGCCGCCAGGAAGCGACACATTGCAGGAGTGATCAAGTCGATCAATGCATCGCAAAAGTCGGCATCGCCCGGCAAGTCCATGTTTGGCTAGCCACCAGCCTGCCACCGAGCAGGGCAACGCTGTGGCCACGGAGGACAACGACAACAGCCACCCACGGCGCCCAGGCAGCACCCCGAATACAGACAGATTCGGGTCGGTCTGATGCAGCGGGTGGATGCAGGAGGCGCTGGCCAGTCATTGCGGGCATGGACAAATCGGGCCTGGGACGCATGGTGACAACACGCAGGGTGGCGTGCTGTGACTGCCCATGACGGGCACTGGCAAAGGACACTGGCAAAGGGCACAAACTGCGGCTGATCCTCCTGCGGACAGACAGGGCGTGCTGAGTCTGCGCCTGTGGGTCTGCGTCTGTGGACACGATCGCAAGTCTGCGCTGATAGACGGACGAGTCGATGCAGATGAACAGGTGCGGGACGATGGATGGCAAATCAAGTACCCGACCTCGCTTGGCATCGCATGGCATCGCCGAGCGAGAGACCGAGGGCTGGCTCGAGCCGGCTCGACCCGCGCTTGTGGCCGACGCGCCGATTTGTCCGTCTTGCCGAATGCGGCCGCGGTGGTGTGACTCACGGTTCCACCGCCTCAAAAGGCCAACCTGTCGCCCGTTTCCGTCTTGGCCCCTCGCTGCTCCATCATCCGGCTCCTCCATCGTCCGGCTGCTGCGTCGCTCGGCTACTCCGTCATCTGGCTGTTCCATTGTCCGGCTGCTGCGTCGTTCGGCTACTCCGTCATCCAGCTGCTCAAGTGTGACTCCGTTCTTGGCTCTCCCTCTTCCCCTCAGCCACTCGCCGATTCTCGCCTCGATCTCTGCCCCGCATCATGATGGGTGGAAAAGCCACGTATTCGCTCGACGAAGTCCAGGAGCACCACACCGCCAAGTCGCTCTGGCTGATCATTGACGATCAAGGTTAGTCCCGTGGCTGCCCGAGTCCATCGCGATCCCCTGCCTGGCTCCATCGCGATCCCTGCCTGGCTCCATCGCGATCCACTGTCCCCATTGCCTGCTCCCACATCGCATCCACGCTGCCTGCGTATCCGTGCCTTCGATCCTTGGCATCGGAGACGGCCGGCGAGGATCCGCCGATGCCGATACTGCCGTCCTTCGGTCATCGAGATCCCTGCCGTGTCGTGGCTGCTTCCACTCCTCGGCCGCGAACCTCTGCCCAGTAAACTTGTCTGGTTTGTGTTTTCCCGCCCATCCTGGCGCTGTTCTGACTGATACTTTGCCGCGCTCCTCGATAGTCTACGACCTCACCGAGTTCCTCTTCGATCACCCCGGCGGTGAGGAGTACCTCTTGCAGTATGGCGGCCAGGACGTCACCGAGGTCATGAAAGACAAGATCCTGCATCTGCATTCCGATGCTGCCTACACCCTCCTGGAGCAGTACCATATCGGGTCCGTCGATCGCAGCCAGACCAAGAAACCTGCCTCCGCCCGTCCCGTCGCCACCCAACAGGCGTCGACACCCCTGCACATCTCCTCGAAGGAAAAAGTCAAGTTCATCGACATCACCAAGCCCATGCTCACCCAGGTCTGGAACGGCAACTTCTCGAAAGAGCTTTATGTCCAGCAGGTCCACATCCCGCGACACTGCTCCGGCTCGGCTCCTCTCTTTGCTTCGCCATATCTCGAGATCTTCTCCAAGACACCTTGGTATGTCATCCCCGTCTTCTGGGCACCCGTCATCCTCTACAACATCTGGTACTGCTCCTTCAAGTACAGCCCGGTCGAAGTCGCGGCCCTGTTCGCCCTTGGCCTCTTCCTGTGGACCTTCATCGAGTACTCGCTCCACCGCTTCATCTTCCACATCGACGAGCTCCTCCCCGACAACCGCGTTGCCATCACCCTCCACTTTCTGCTCCACGGCATCCACCACTACCTTCCCATGGACAGGTAACGGCTCTCCTCGATTGAATGCAGCCTCGATCATGTACATCCGCTGGCCACCTGAGTGCGATCAGCCTGATGCCGCTCAAATCGGCCATGGCCTGCATGCTGTACCAAGTCGCTTGCTCGATCGACCGTGTGGACCCACTGCTTGCCGTTTGCTGCTTCTCGTTCGATGCAGTCCAGTGCAACCTTGCTTTGAACAGGACTACGTGGTAGTGCCGAACCACTTGCTTTCCCGCCAGCATATCGCTGCCTGCCGCGGCGGTTCGTTAATCCGCATATTCGTGCTCTGCCTATCCTACAGACTTCGGCTCGTGATGCCGCCTGCGCTCGGCCTGGCGCTCTCTCTTCCCATCTGGTATCTGTACCATGTCGTGCTCACGCCTTACATTGGCGCCGGTGCCATCGCAGGCTCCTACACTGGATTTGTGCTCTACGATATGATGCACTGTAAGTCTCGGCCGAATGCTGCGTAAGATGAGTCCGTATCCGCCTGTATCCGCGGCCGTAGCACTCATCGCATATTTGCCCGCGCAGACTATCTCCATCACGGCAAGCCTTATGGCGACTACCTCAAGGAGATGAAGAGTTACCACTTGGACCACCACTACAAGGTAAGCGCGCAAGGCAGTGGCGCCAGAATATCGCCGCATCGGTGCATGGGGCCCTCTGTTTCGTTCGAGTCGCTGACCCATGACGTATACCATCTCATGCCCATCCAAAAGAACGCTCACCTCGGCTTTGGCATTTCTTCCAAGCTCTGGGACATTGTGTTCAACACCCTTTTGGTCTGAAGATGCGGTCGACAGCATATTTCTATTCGCACTTGCCTTATATTCATGAAATAGAACGGGAAACCCTCCACTCTAGGCGGTGCCCCATGGCTTCATTTAATCGTGGCCGTTACTGGGACCAATGAGTGTAGTTTGCTGCCCCCCCCCACCCAGTCTGCTGCTGCAATTTGAGGCTTGGGCACGGATTTTGGCTTGGGCGCATTGAAGCAACAACAGTGCGCTTGAGCGACGGCATGGGCTGGAAAGTAGAGCAACAAGCACCGGGGTTCCTAAGAACGGACATGAAGTCTAACCTCGATGATGCCAGCAAGGGCTTGTTTTTGTTGTATTTGGCGTTCAATACACTCGCTATATTCAGTATTTAGTGGCGTTGTACCGATCGAATCGCCAGTGGTAATTGGCTGAGAGAATTATCGAGTGACACTACGGCTTGGCAACTACGAACTTCACCTGGAAGAGGAAGTAAGCGACAAACCTCCTGTTCCTCAACAGCGCGGATGGCAAGTGGCAGATTCTGCTCAACATCGACGGACTTGCGCACTGGTTCCAACAGACAACCAGATCGGCGCGGCACGAAGAGATCCAGCTCTAGGATCTGTCGTGACTCGAGATGCAGCAGCCGAGGCACTCTTCTGGATCTGCGTTTCATTCCCGCGTTCCAGAGAACCTTCGGGCTATCGCAGGGGAATGCACACAATCATCTGCGGGCTCATCCTGAGGGAGTATCACCAGCGACATCACCAGCCAGCACAGCACAGCACAGGCATTGTGTCAGGCAGTGCGCACATCGACAAAAAAATTCGTCTCCGAAGAGACAATCCACTCAAGATATGCTTGTCATCCTTGCGCAGGGAGCCATGCTAATCTTCTCTGTATCGTTCCAATTTTATAATTTGTCAGGTATTTCACTGACAATCGAGTCTCCCATCCGCCTGGCTATACATGCTATGTCTCGCCGTGCCGCTGTTTCAGCGGGTTTGTATCACGCTGTGCTCTGATCGCTCCCGGCAACACTGTCCAGGATGTTGATGCAAGATCAATCACCCAGTCACCCAGTCACCCAGTCACCCAGTCACCCAGTCACCCAGTCACCCAGTCACCCAGTCACCCAGTCACCCACACCCATTTGGTGTTGTTCATGTCAATGTATTGCTGTTGGTTGCTCGCATTGTCGGTCGTGCATATGCCATGTGTGCGTCTCGATGCTGTGGCGGCCATCTGCGGGCTGTGCCTTGGAGCGATGATGGGGTGCGCTCTCATCGGAACAGATTGGCATGCCAACAATCACAGCCGATTGCACCGATCCGCCGGCATCGTGGCTGGATCGGCAATCAACCGCCGATCCCTGGACCAGAGCCGATCAATTCACTGGGGCCACCAGCACCAGCACCAGCACCAGCACCAGCACCAGCACCAGCACCAGCACCAGCACCAGCACCAGCACCAGCACCAGCACTCGCATCCGCATCCGTCACGGGTTGAACAGCATCGGGTTGGATGGTTTTGGGTTGGCATCGCTGCCGCCGCCAAAGAACGCTGGATTGAGGCCCAGTGCCAGAGGCAGCGATGGCGTTCCCGATGTCTTGAGAGCTTCGGCCAGAGCCCCAATCTGCGAGCCGGTCAGGCCGGTCAGGCCGGTCGCGGTTCCATTGAGGCCCATAGCATTTCCTGTTAGCCCGAGCGGCGGGAGGCCAGCAACGCCGAAGCCTGACGCACCCAGGCCAGACACGCCCAGTCCTGCACCGAGCGCCCCGAGTGCCCCAAGCGCTGCAAGGGGTGTCGGTGCTGTTGTGAGGAGTGAACAAGCGCAAGGACGAAGACCAAGTGCTTGGTATGAGCTTTATTAGCTTTTAGCCCCGAACACCAAAGAACAAGTTTTGTTCGAACTGGTGTTCAACATAGGCTCAGACATGCAGGGCTATTTATAGACCGGGAGAAGGTCGAGGGGCAAAAGTGGGCGAGAAGGGTGGAGCATCACAGAGAAGCGAGAAGGGGGTGCGAGAGTGGCTGGTGTGCAAGCGAGAGAGGCTTGGCACAGCCCGGGGACATGTGCCGAGCGGTGGGGGAGGCAGGAAACCAGTAGACGCGGGTGGCAACGGCGCGTGCTCATGCATGGGGGCAAACAAACACGTGGGGACTCATGATTGGTGCGGAGGGAGAGAGCATGCGGGACAATCTCATTGGTCCGTTGTGATGCTGGTCATCACACTATCTCCTCCTTAAACTACGGCGTGTTCCATCTTGAGTTCTCCTGGGGCCAGGCTTGTCTGGGTAGCGTCGGTGGTACTCCGCGGCCACCGTTGGGGCAAAGACAATGTCGGCGGGCTCCCAACTTCGATCGGTGACCGGGTAGCCTTTCCAATCGATGAGATAGTGCAGCTTTCCGCGCACGAACTTGGAGTCTAAGATCTCTTCGACCTCCCACTCCAAGTTCCCATCGATGACCACCGCAGGGGGCGGCGCTTGCACCCGACCCGGAAGCGAGTTCTTCTTGTAGGGCTCAAGAAGAGACACATGGAACACCGGGTGCACCTTTATGTCCTTTGGCAAGTCCAGGCGGAAAGCCAATGTCCCGACGGCCTCGAGGATGGTGAATGGTCCAATCCTCTGGTAATCCAGCTTCTTGCTTGGGCGAGTGGTGCTGATGTTACGAGTCAGCACCCAGACTTGATCGCCCGGACGCAAGTCGGGAGCCTGGGACCTCCGGAGATCTGAGAAGTGCTTGTAGTCAGACTTTGCCTTCTCAAGATTCTCCTTCAACAGTGCCAGGTTCCGCTGGAGATGTTCAACCCTCTCCGTGGCAGAGGGAACATCAGGGCCGCCAGCGATAACGGGGACTTCGAACCTTGGGTGGAACCCATAGGTTGCCAAGAATGGCGAGGCATGTGTTGACGAGTTCTCGAGGTTATTGTAAGAGAACTCGGCCAACGGCAGCAGCTCGGCCCAGTCATCTTGCTGATACGACGTGTAACAGCGCAGGTATTGGTTGATGACCTGGTTGACCCTCTCAGTCTGTCCATCGGTCTGGGGATGGAAGGCCGTGGACAGACTGGTTTGGATCCCGAGCTGCGTGCAGAGTGCCTTCCAGAACCGAGAGGTGAACTGACTTCCTCGGTCTGAAACCACTGTGTCGGGGAGGCCATGGAGACGAAAGACATTGTCGAGGAACAGTGACGCAGTCTCCTCCGCCGACGGCAGTGAACGCCAGGACATAAAGTGTGCCATCTTTGTGAGGCTGCATACCACCACAAAGATGCAGGTGTGACCCTTGGACTTTGGCAGATCAGTGATAAAGTCCATGGTCAGTGTCCCCCAGGGTCGATCGGCTGTCTGGAGTGGCAACAGGAACCCAAACGGCTTGTGTCGCGGAGCTTTCGAGCGTGCACAGGTGTCGCACGTCGAGACGTACTCTTTGACATCTTTCCGATAGGTTTGCCACCAAAACTGTCGCGATACCAGAGCCAGAGTCCGTCGGATGCCTGGATGACCCACAGCGACTGGGTCATGGCACGACTTGAGCGCCGGAACTCGGCACGACTCTGGGACCACAATCCTGTTCTGGAAGGTGAGGTACTGGCCATTCCAGACGAACTTCGGGTCACGACGGTATTTGTCTAGACCGGGATCCCGAGCCTGCTCTTCGGCTATGAGCTGCAGCAAGTCCACAGGGTCACTGCGACTTGCAACCGAAGAGCGGGCGTCTCTGCTTCGGAGCACGCGTATCACCGCGGCAGGATCGAGAAGCAGAGGCGGATCCCTCGACACGGAGGCCGACGAAGGGATGTAGTCCGAGCGACGAGACAGGGCATCGGCCTTGCCGTTCCTCGCACCAGGACGGTACTGGATGCGGATGTCGAACCGAGACAAGAACTGGGACCACCGTGCATGGCGCTGGTTTAGGATGCGAGCCGTCGCCAGGTACTCCAAGTTCTTGTGGTCGGTCAGAACGGCAACGGGATGCTGGGCGCCTTCGAGGTAGTGTCGCCACGCCTCGAAAGCCTCCTTGATCGCCAACAGCTCTTTCTCGTATATGCTGTAGTTACGTTCAGCATTCGAGAGTGTCCGCGAATGGAACGAGCAAGGATGAAGGCGATCATCAGCACCCCGCTGGGAGAGCACGCATCCAAGCGCAAAGTCCGACGCATCTGACTCTACGACGATGTGATGATCATGCACGTTGGGAACACGTGTGGACTGCTGCGCGTGATGCACCGTGAGTCATGTTTGTTTGTCTTGGCGTGTATTCCCTGATTGGCTGGCGCCGATGACTCTTACTTCGCCTCCGACTGCGCTGTGCTTCGCCCCTCTCTCTAGCAGCTCCGCCTCCCTCGCACCCCCATCTCGTCCCTCGTTTGTCGCTCCACCCCTCTCGCCCACTTTCGCCCTTCGGTTTCCCTCTTGGCTATAAAGCCCCTCCTTTCTTGCACCCATTTTGTATCTGCAGTTCGAACAACACTTGTTGTTATCTGATAAGTCGTAATATAGCTTATCGTTGTTCGCCAAGCACCTGGTCGTCCAGTGTCGTTGCTTGTCGTGGTCCTCACATATTGTTCGAACTCCCTCTCTCTGTCTGACCACCTGCTTGGCTGAGGCTTCGTTGCTGCCCTCATCCTTCTATTCTCTGTTGTCTTCCCTGCATCCTCGCTCCCCACTTTCAAAGCCCACATGGACCAACTCCAGGCCCAAATCGTTGCCCTCCAGGAGGAACTGGTTCTCCTCCGGACCACACATTCTTCCGCCGCCCCACAGCTCCCGCACATGCCGACCCCGGACAAGTTCGACGGCACCAGGTCAAAGTTCCGCCCCTTCGTCAACCAGTGCCGCCTGCTCATGATGCTCCAGGCATCCAGGTTCCCGTCCGAGCAAGTCAAGGTGGGTTACGTCTTGAGTTTGCTCACTGGTCCGGCCCTCCAGTGGGCGACTCCCTTGATCGAGTCGAACGATCAAATCCTGCACTCGTTCGACTCGTTCATGGAACGCTTTCGCCAAGCGTTTGACGATCCCGACCGCACCCACACTGCCGAGCTGCTCCTTTCCTCCATGGCACAGGGCAACCGCTCGTGCATGGATTATGCCTCAGAGTTCCTCCGCGTTGCCGCCGACCTTCCCTGGAACGACGAAGCCAAGATCTCCGCCTTCCGCCGTGGCCTGTCGAGGGAGATCAAGCAGCGCCTCTCCTTCATCGACCCTCTCCCTCTCCGCTTGGTCCCGTTCGTCGAGCGTTGCCTCAAGATCGATGCACGCATCATCGAGCTCAACAACGAGCTCCGAAACACTGGCCCTGTTTCCTTCGGCACCCAGGCCTTCAACTCCCGCACCCCGTCCTTCCAGCCGCCCGCCCAGGAGCCTCCGGTTCTCTACTCCGAGCCGATGCAGATCGACGCCGCCGTCGTCAGCCGCCTGACCCCCGAGGAGAAGAACCGCCGCTTCCAGGAGCGCCTCTGCTTCCGCTGTGGCAAGCCCGGCCACGTCGCCAAGTCCTGCCCCCTCAAGTCCGGCTCCCGTGCTCCCGCCTCTGGTTCCCGCTTCCCCGGCTCCCGTCCTCAGGCTCCCGGCTCCCGTCCCCGTTCGAAGGTTGTCCGAACCATCGTCTACGATGATGGTGAGGAGGAACACTTCGAGTCGGGAAACGACCAGGCCCAGATCTAAGTGGAGGCTTAGATCTGGAGCCGTCTCCCCTTCCTCCAGAAGCAAGCGTCGATGGTAAGGAGCATGAGGTAAGTGTCGAACGCATGGCTATGTGTGGAATGATCAATGTAGTCGGTGGTGGATCGCACTCTGTCAAACCCGCCTCTTCTAAGGGCACATCTGGCTCCCAGATGTCTTTGACAGAGCTCCCGATCTCCACACCACCTGCGAACTTGGTCATCTGCTCGAACCATGCTGCCGACACTGATCTCTGCTCCGAGCCTTCTTCGTGCGTCTCGTCGAATTCTTCGTCTTCTCCCGTTTTCTCCGCTTCTCTTGTTCTCCCTTCTGGTCGCTCCCTCTCTTGCCAACTTCTCGTCGATTCTGGTGCCTCCGGCAACTTCATCGACGAGAGCTTTGTTGACCGCTTCTCGGTCCCCCTCGTTTCCAAATCCACTCCCCTCCCTGTCCAAGGTGTCGATGGCCAGCCACTTTCTTCCGGCCCCATCACTTTTGAGACGGAACCCCTCAAGATTGTTCTTGGGGACTACACTCAACACCTTTCCTTTGATGTCATTAAGTCTCCCCACCAACCTGTTATCCTTGGCTATCCCTGGCTGCAGTCCATCGAACCTAGGTTCCACTGGGCTCGTGGACTCCTTTGCCTTCCCCGTCCTGCAAACCACATCCTCAAGGTTGTGGATGCCTCTTCCCTCCCTTCCGTTTCTTCCGTTTCTCCTTCTCCCCTTCCTCTTGTTGGCGACACACCCAATGTTTTCCCTCGTGCCTCTACCGACACCACTGTGGTGCTCGCTTCTTCGCCTCGCACCGTTTGTACTCGCGAAGATGATCAGAATAAAGTGATCGCTCAACGTTATTCTGATTGTGTTCCGAGTGAGGTGCCCTGTTCCTGTGCTGCTCGTCCTGGTCCCTCCGGTCTCGTCTCCGTCCGTCCTGGTCTCCCCGGTCCCGTTGCTCCCAGCCCCGCTCCTGTCCGTGTCCAAGCGATCAGGTACAAGTCGTTGGAGCAGTCCGTCCTCGACACACAGTCTAGCCCCGACCCCCTGACTGTGTTCCAAGTCCTCGTCCTTCCTGCCACCGATCCGGATCCGACGCCCCTCTCGACGTCGATCCCCGAGGAGTACAAGTCGTTTGGCTCAGTCTTCTCGAAGCAGGAAGCCGATTCGTTGCCCCCGCACCGGACGTACGACTGCCCGATCGACCTGGAGCCCGGCAAGACCCCCAAG